CTGCACTGCCAGAGACTAAATTAACAAGGCCTCCTGTAATTAAGCGAGTTTATTGGCCTCCAGGGAGTCGCTTCTCCTCATACAATTCCCATTCAGCCTTGTTTATATCCTTTTCTTCTTCCTCTGCTTCTTTCAACCTGGGGGTGCGCAATCTTTGTCATGATTATGTTTTAAAAAAAGACGGCTTTGTGCGTTCTACACATTTACATACAAACGTCACTGACAGGAACCGCTTCTTAGCTGTCGGAGATTCTTGCAATCGCGTATGAGTACAAATGTACACACTGTGTTTGCTGGAAATTGAAGACAAACATGCATAAGATGGTGAACACACACACACATGGCTGTCATCAAATACTGGGCCCACACTTTCTTTGTAGCACACACACATACTGATTACACATTACACACTTATATCCAGGTAGGAAACGTCAGATAATGATGTGCATCACAACGCCAAGAAGGTTTGGACTTGAGTGTGAACCTCACATCTGTCAACCCTCTCTTCTCCCTTGCCTTTCAATTATATATTTATCTTTGTAGTGGCTGAGTGATGCGTTGAGACCCTTCCTGCTACTGATCGGATAGAAATAGAACAGCCTCCTTATCCAACCATAACACCCTCCCTTTCTCGCCACCCCCAACCCTCCATCCTCCCCTGAGGCTTATGCAAATTATCTTCCTGTGATTCCCCTCTCCTTTCTTTGTCAGGTATAGTGCGCCTATTCCTCGATTGATGGTGCTGGTGGCGACATGACAAGCTAAAGGAAGATAAACAGGTGAAAGAGACAAACTCTGGACCAGCAGGTGGACATACAGACAGACTGAAAAAGACGAGAAGTAGACCAGGGTGCGCAGAAATGTATGCACTTCATGGGGGGTGTTACTTTTTGATCAAATTGATGATTGTAATGATTTTTTCTGAAGTGAGTGGGTTCTCTTGGGCCTGTGGGGGGTCTTTGAGTGGATCCAAATGGAAAAATCAGAAAAAGTCAACAGCTCTGACAGATATTTGTCATATTCTTAAACCCTAACATGTTTTCTTTTAACAGATACAGGGTTCCGACGCAAGAAAGTAAAGAAAGTGAGGAAAAGTATTAAAGTAATTTGATCAATTTCCAGGTTTTAAAAATGATGGTAAATGAAAAATAAAGTATGGAAAAGTATTTAGGTTTCCAGACTATTACCCGAGTAAAAAAAAGACTATTTTTCTAAAATAGAAAAAGTAGGTATTTCAAAATATAATTTTAAAAAGTAGAGTATGGAAAAGTATTTAAATCCCAACTGTGTAGCAACCCTGCAGATGTGACTTTATAGTGTTTAAGGGTCATTAAAACTGAACTCCACTAAACTCCTGTTTATCTCTCCTGTTCAATTATATCGATTAGAAGTGAATGGTAGACATCCAGTCATTTAAAAGAGCGCTGTGAAAACGTGTATTTCAGTAATTCTTTTTTTTTTAATCGGTTTATGTTTTTTAATTTGTTGTTTATTCTCAACAATATTTTTCTTAACTTCTGTACTTTCAAATATTTTTTATTAAACTTTTCCATTTTTTAACAAAAAGCTTTTCCTACTCATTTTCTAACTTCAGGATGCTCAAATTACAAGAGGGGTCCAGCTGCAGACCTCCACTGTGAGGACGGAGGTGACGTTTTTTCTCACGCCCTCCAGTTTGTTTGAAGTGGTGATCCTATTTTGTGTTTTGTCTTTGTTGAACACATGAATACACAAAAAAATCACATTAACATTTTATACATAAAATAAAGCCCCAAAAAATCAAATATTTTCACACGAGACAAAACATACGTATTTCCCAGTCTAATCACTTTTATTTTGAAAGGCTTTTAATAAACTTTTTAATGTAGAAAAAAAAAAAGAAACAAACTCCTGGTTTATTTGCTCTTATTTTGAAAAGCTTCAAATCAACTTCTGGTCCTCACAGTGGAGGTCTGCAGCCAGACTGTCTTCTAAAAATACTGAAGAATTTATAAATTAATATTAAGTGGAATAAAAGTGTCTTGACTTTTTCTCCTCTTACAAAGTTCAGAGCTGGATTAATGTGCCACTTTGGAGCCAAAATTTGAGCATCATGGCTTAAGATGTGATTTCTAAAACAGTTATCAATTAATTAAAATAAGGGTTGTCTGTTCTCAAATTTAACTGACACTGGTAAAATCATTGCTTTCATGCATTTTAAGGCTTAATTAAGGGTGGTCTCCTCTTCTGCAGCTGAAATTGCGCATGTGAGCAAATAATCAGAAAAGCTACACAAGTAAATACGACTGCAGTGACGAATCTTTATTGGAGTTACACTCATTAAATAATTACCTGGGTCACAAGGCCAATTTTTGTATAATTTTTATCATTAAAAACCATTAAATAAATGCAAAGATCTTATGTTTGACTTCAGGGATTACAAGTATGTTTAATTTTAGAATTAATTAGTTCTCATGAGAAATGTTGTGGCAGCACTGACAATGAACTTGTTAATGGGTTAAGGTGTTAGCGAAACACTGTTCAGAGAAAGTGCTAATTATCCCTGAAAGCACCTAAAAGCAGGTGTCAAGTTATGTGTACAAACACACTGACACTCTCATGAGTGTTTGTCATTTTTATCAGATACCTCTCACATCTGGATAAAACCAAACAATCAGAAACACGGAGTAACTCGACATAACCAGACACTGAAATTCAGCTTGACACACACGAGCTCCCACACTCAAAGAAAAAAATGCCTCTGACACCAGCCGACACAGGCCCAATTTGTCGGGAAAATGCGATTACAAAGACAGAGAGTGAGAAAAAGGAAGACATCAGACGTACTGGGAAGCACAGACCAAGTAAAGAGGGAGAAAAAAAGAAGGAGGACAAAAAGAAGGAAAGCACCACAGGCTACATAACATCCTCATCCTGGAGATTAGCTCAAATCTGACAGGTCGCCATGAAAACAGAACAGAGACTGCGGCGGGGGACAGAATGAAACAGCGAAACAAGAGCCAGGGCCCTGGGTATCGTACACTGCCAGAGAGACACACACACACACACACACACGAATACACACATGCCAGCTGAATACATGTCAAGAGAGTTTCGCCTGAGTCTACCTGCAGCCTGGTCTTCAACTTAAAGGCATGTCGACAAAGGACAAGAAGTATTTTATGTTTAAGAGCGGTGGTTTTTGTTGAGGAGTCTCATACCGAGGTCAGTTTTCAGGATCTAAACGACGGGCTGACGGGGAAACTAAACGGTCTTGACGTTTGTTTGGGGTTCTGTATCTGTGTTTGTGTCATGTTCTTAAAAGACCTGGACATACAAACTGACTCACCAGGAGCGGACCTCTGAGAAAACCCTGCATGAGCCGACTGTTGCATCATTCAGGGTGAGGAGCGCTGTAAGAGCGAAATCAAAGTCTCTGCGTGGTATCCAAATATCGGAGGTCAGCGTCTGGAGCAGGAACGCTGTTAGAACGAATGCAGTAAAAAAGTTCTTCTTTACAAAACCTAAGACCTCGATTTGTTATATGAAGTCTGTGTCAGCTACTCTTCACATTTTCTCATAAGTTTCTGACATTTTCACATCCACTGCTGTCAGTGTCGGGGAAAGTACACCCCAGAGTAATAATTCTGGTCCTCTGAGCAATCTCTTCTGGTCAGTCCTCAGGCTCAGCATAAACTCAGGGGTGACTGCGCTTTTTTTACTTGCAGGTCCCTGTTTTGTGAAACCGGTTACCTTCTCACATCAAATGTGCTGTCTCAATTTATTTTCTCAAAGGAAACTTCTTTTCTCCGGCCTCTGATTGAACCCAAAGCGCTTAAATATGTAGGATTATTGAACTTTGTGTGTAATATTTAATGGTATGGTGTTTATTTCCCTTTGTTTTACTTTAAAAGTGACTTTTAAAAAGAGATTTGAGCTGAGAGGATTAAATATTGACGCTCTGCTAAGTTAGTTTTTCAAATAAAAGCAAAACACACGAGGATTTTTTTTTTCTTTGAACTTGATTTCAGATTTAATTTTTCATGTGTGCACGTATTATTCTGCCTAAGTCAGTAATGACGCCGTCTGCCTCCTCGCTGGGTGAAGCCTCCGCAAGAACAGCAAGAACAGCACCCTCTGGTGGTGGCCAGATGTATAGGTCATAAATAACACCTCCTCCAGCAATCCCTATGGAGCTGTGGATAGGGTGACCATATTCTGAATCCCCCAAAAAGAGGACACGACTTCGCAGGGTGGAGCACGGAGTCGAGCGTAGTTAATTTTAAGAGTTTTTCAGGTCGGGTCGAGTGAGTTTTTACACACTTCTAACTCAGTTAGTCCACGCAACACAAACTCATAACTTCCATACAAAACCCCAAGACATAATTTGTATAATGACAGAAGGCGGAGCCAAGTTGTTTATACAACAATGATCAACTTGTCTGGATTCCCCCACAAACAAGCAGCTGCTGGAGGAGAGTGGGTGAGTTGTTTTTAGTCTCTCTGCTAATAAAATCAGGCAAAGTTAAAAAGATGTTTGATGGCTAGTACTATGGCTAGGACCCTATATATACTGTTGATGAAGTTAGGTGCTGTTCTGAGCATTATTTGTGGCTACAGAGTGGCATTTTGGTTGAGGTTTGCGTGTGGAGAGGTAGACAGCTGTGTATTGCTATCGTGCGGTCGTTACTAAAGTTGGTATAACTAGAGAAGCAAGCGGTCTGCAACATTTATCTCTCGAGGAGGTGTCTAACTTGGTGTTGTGGTGTGTTAACTTAAATTTAGGTCGGAATATCCCTTTAAGGTTGGGAGCTAACTGCAGTTTAGTCAATCCTGCTGGATTTTAATACCGCTAGCTAAAGCGTTGGTTTCCTGGCAGGTATCAAAACAAAAAATCCCAGACCTTTGAAGCGCACTGAAAGCCAAAATACCCTCCTACACCATTTCAGATCTGACTATTATTTGAGCAACAAAAAAACATCAAATATTTGAACTAGAATCCAGCAAAAAAGTCCAAACAGCTCCTGTCAGAGAAAGAGAAACATTTCAGCGTCTGAAACAACCAAGAAATGGATTTAAACACCCAAGAAAGAACTTGAAGAAGACATTAAATTAGACAAAATGAATTCAAAGAGACAACATAATCCTTTTAGTTGGGGTGAGTCCAAAAGCGTCCGTGTATCTTGTCTTCAGTGTGTGCATGTCTAACCGTCATTCTTGCCTCCTTTGAAAACAGCTTCATTTTCAGCGTCTCATTTGACTTTAATCCCCGACTCTTTGCTCGGGGCTAAATGAAAAGGTAGAGGTAAGGATGAGGTTACCAAACACATTTTTTGGCACAGCACAGTGAGATAGCTGCTCTTTGCTCGGGGAGGGATGAGCTTGGAGAGCACACATGCAGGTAAAGGTTTCTTCTCCTCTGTCTTGGCAGATTCTCCTCCTACTTTCTTGCCTTCTCCTCGGTGACTTTTCGTTGAACTCCATCCGCTCGCTCCCTTCTACAAACTTCAGATTCTGACTTTCAGGGGAAGAAGAAGAAGAAGAAAATACGGATTTCAAACTCTCGGTGGTCTTTTCTTATTCATTCCTCTTCCCCTGAGTCTCTCAGGCCAAGCTCACTCTTCATCGGTGGACGGTGTCTTGTCTTTTGTCTCTTTTTAATCTGTGATCCTCTCCTCCACTCTCCTGCCCTCTCCTCTTTACCCGTTTCACCTCTTATCTCCTTCTACTCCTCACAACCTCCATTCCTCAATCAACTCATTTCCTCTCATTTTCACTCACTTCCAGCGCTCATCGCTCTCCCTCTTGCTTCAAAAATGTGCCTGAAAATGAGATGATGTAAGAAATCGCTCCGCTTTTGCAAGAGCAGGCTCGAACCCAAACAGTGGGTTCCTGAGTTTTATAATAAAGTCTTGGTGTCCTTTTCTTAAAGCTTTTGGGAGCACCAAAAAAAAAAAAAGAACGATAGCTGTGCTTTAAGTCAGACAGATGTCAAATACCTTTGAGCAAACTGTGCGATGTATTCAAGAACTGCAGATCTGATCACCTGAGATATACGTCTCTGGGTTAATCTCTCTTTTCTTGAGCTTCGCTTGCAGAAGAGACAATCGACGGGGGGAGAGGAATTCTTTAAAATTCTCCTCCTTGTCGAGAATTTCTCTGACGTGTGTTGGCAGATCTGCTCCCTCGGTGCTCCTGAGTTATCCCTTGATGCTTTTTTTACAGTTTGAAGACTTGACAGAAATGCAGCTTATTAGCAGTATCTCCATACCAGTTTGCTTCTGTTGTTGTTGATGGACAATCTGAGCATTTTTCACTGTTTATCTCTCAATCCCTCCGAGATTCGAGTCGTGAAAATGTAGCCAAGATTAGAAAAAAAAAAAGCATTTAGTGGGAGTGGGAAACAAATGATGAAATAGTGTTTGATTGTTCTCTGGGCACAAGGCTCTTGCCTACTGTCGTTGTACAGCCAAGGCTGAGATGGTTTCACTGTAAAATTAGGCGTCTCTAATGCCGGCTAAGCTCTTAAGCTGCTCATTTTTGACGCTATTGTTGCCCTGGTTTTCGCTCTCCCTCCGTTTCCCTTTGTTTCTCCGTCTCTTGCTTCTCCTCTCACCTTTTCCTTTGTACCCCCTTCCACATTTCTCCCTCTCTCTCTCTACTCTGTCCTCGCCTTCCTGCCTGCTATCTCTATCTCGGCTGCCCTCTGAGAGTTGTATTGTTGCGGTCGGTGGCTGAGAGTTCGAGGAGAAGAGCACGGTCAGACAGGGGCAGTCATCCACACAGTGCACAAAATAAAGCTTCCTTTTTTTACAAAATGTCCCGAGACTACAGCTCTTCTCATGCAGGACATCTTTGTGAGGATCTATATTTGACTTCTTTTTTTTAACCAAACAAAAACCGTCCGATTTATGTGGGTCATCTTTCAGTCCAGCTGAGTCGTGCCCTGGTGAGAACGTGTCATCGCAGTGAGGAGCAGCTGTCCTGCAGCCACTTGCAATGTCAGGGACGACGTGATCACACACAGATCAGATCAATCTTTTAGGAGTCAGGACTGGAGTCTTACGCACTCTTTTAGAAATCTACTCTGCTTGACCACCAGGGCACGATATATTCAAATCAAATCAAATCAAACTTTATTTATAGAACACTTTTCATGCATGGACATTTAACACAAACACACGCATACACGTTTACCTGACCAACAGTGGACTATGAGCCTAGACTGACCAAGCGTGGACCCCTATTTCTGGTCATTTTAATAAAACATCTTTTTTTCTTTTCATCCATGGCAGAGTGAGAAGTCGTTGCGTATCTAAGTGGGAACTTTTGTCACTATTTACCAACCAACAGGGAACCTTTGTCAGTCCAAAAGGTGCGTTATTTTTCTGTAATGTGCATGGTTAAAAATATTTCATTCTCAGAAGTGTAGACTGATCCTTGAGATATATTGAAAGATTAATAGAAATCCAACTCTTGTGAAAACTGGTTAAACAAGTATCAGGAGTCTTGTCAAAGAGTGTGAGTGTGGTGCTGTGAGATTCAGAACTGAAGAAAAAGAAGCGGGAAAGAGGTCAGGTGCAAACTCAACCAGGTAAAAATAATTAATAAGATCAAATCTAAAATCATAGTTTAACTGAAAGAAAATGTCTTACTCTTCAATTACAAAGTTCAGCTTTTAAATGTATGAAAGAGACAAAAAAGCTTAAAAAGGAAAGACAAAAAAAAAACATGAAATCTGACCTTTATTGCACTGTAGATCCAGAGGTCCAAATCTGCATGGCATTAAAACCTACAAGACAAACCCAAGGATGTTTCTATTATAGACCTCAGAAACTTAAATTCACTGTTCCTAACAGACAAAAAAAAAACCTGGACAAAAGCAAAGTGGATGTGTCAGAAAATGTAGAAAATGTAAAAAAGAAATAACGGCAGTCAGAGGGGAAATAGCGTCAAATAAACAGACACAAAAAAAAGAGAGAAAGTCCGACTTCAAGATGAAAAACTGTTTTATGTTACGGCGTTTCAAACAGCAACAAAGCGTCAGCAGAGAGAGGAGGTGAAGAGGAAGGGAGGGAGGAATATGAATAATAAAAAAAGAGTGGACATGTTAAAGAGAGGAAGGTGTTTTTATCACAACTTCTCCCAGGAGTCCTCCTTTTTCTGTCGCTCGTCAGTGTGGCGCAATGCTACCTTATGGCTGAGCACAGGAGTTTTAGTGAGCTCCGGGGGGAATGTGCTGCTTGGTCACACACAAACACACACACACACAGACACACACACACACACACACACAAAGAGGATATAACATACAGCACCTAGAGCAGTGCAGAATCCTGTTCAAAGCCTCCATATGATTCTCCTTCACACAGAACCGGCAGAGGAAAAGGAGAGCGGACAGAGAGACTCAAAAGCTCTCCCCCTGAGGAGCTGAATAGATGGATGGATGGAAGGACCGAGGGGGAGATGAAGGTGGGATAAAGACGAACAGAGGGACGACAGGAGCATCAAACTGTGGCGGCTGGTGACGCGAGGTGCATAGGAATTTAGGCTCCAAAAGCGAGAGGGAAGGAGAGGTCAAGAAGACAGAGAGATGCTGAAAAAGTTGGCGTGGAAAAGAGAGATAAAGAGGTAGATACGGGATTGCGTGAGCCGCTGAATTTCTCTCATGTGGCTGTCAAAACAGGTGCATGAACACCTCAGATGGAGGATTCAGAGCGTGAATTATAAATAAGAACTTTTAAGCGTTTTTGTCAAACTAGTATGAAGCTTTGTCTCGCTCGTCTTTATTGTCAATATTGAAAAACTGAAACAAATAAACTGTGTTGGAACGAATTTACTGGGGAGACGGTGTGCGCCGCAGACAGATGTTTCAAAGAAATTTCAAGGACATCCAAACTTCTTTTAAGCTTTAAAAAAAAAATCAACCTTAAACATTTTATCAGGCCGTTCCTGCAGGTGCTTCTTAGCAAATTATTCCATGAAAATTTCAGAGATTTTTTTCACAGCACAAAAAACCTTCAAAAAGCTGAAAACTTAACTAACTCCGCTTTAACTCCTTTAAAATTTCATATCCACTCCGCCTCTGTTAATATTCTTAATAATTTCCCCAAAAATAATTGGATTGGACCCCAGCTACACAAAGATAAAGATTAAAAGAGACTTTTTAAAGCTGCTAATGTCTTCTGGCGGAGGAGGAGAAGAAGAAGTGAAGGATAAGTTGAAACCAGTACGAACACGGATGAACTCTGCGTGAACTCTGTCAGGAGTGAAGCTGTGTCGGTGCTTTTTTGAGAAGAATGAAACTCGTGGGACTAGATTTTAAAAAGAGTTCGTTTTACGCCTCAAACTATTTTGCATCTTTTATTTTCATCATGCTCATCCCCTCCCATATCTTCGCCAAACACCTGTAACAAGGAAAAACGTGAGCGACGGGGGGCGCGTGCGGACGCATTCAGAAAACGGCGGCGCATGACCTCTCTGTGAACCCGAGACTGACTGACAGACAGACAAAGAAACCAGAAGCAGACAGACAGGTTGACACGATGAAGTGGGAGGAGATCGGCCCCGTTTTCGACGCTCACCGCGGGGATCAAACAGAATTTCAAAAGATTTTTTTTTCCTGCGCTCAAAACAATTTTATTTTCTTTCTTTCGTCTTCTCCCACCTGTCAAAACATGAATCAAAAAAAGCCTCGGGTCGGACCGCGCAAACGCATCAAACGCACGCCTTACCCCGTGTGCGACTTATTCAGTTGAAGCTCTGACCTCTAACCAGATCGGACAAGCAACAGCTGGTTTGAGACAAACTGCTTCACTCTTCTGACACACACACACACACACACACACACACACACACTGTGGCGGCGGCAGGGGAGCACAGGCTAACTGGAGTAAATGAAGAGAAGGATGAATTGTGGTTGTTTGTCAGCGGAGCTACAATTAAAGCTGTCAATAGTCATTATAGAACAAGGCCGGCGAAACCCTGGAACCAAAGATTTACATGGTGCCACTTCCTACAGGACACACACACTCAGTCACACACATTAGCAGACAACACATGAACTCACAACGCTCATGTACAACTTCCAGACAAACACATAAATATTTCTTTTTCTTCTGATGTCTTTACACTGTAAAATGATGATGTTGGATCAACCTTTAAAGTAAATGTGAAACTTTCTTTTACATGTAAACTTAACTAGTTATTTATTGAGGCCTTTGGAACAATATTAATGTCATCACTTACTACTCTTTCATTTCTTATTGTGTTGAATTGCAGAGATCTATAAAACAGTTATTCATTTCAAAAGGCTTTCTGCAAAAAAATAAGCCATATATATGATCGATCTCACAAATCTACGGTTTTCACACTTCTTATTCATGTATCCATTCATTTTCAGCGTAATCATAATCCTTTCATTGAAGCTTCTATAAGGAGTTTTTAGTCATTTATGAAATAGACTGAAATGTGTCTCGATGCCTACCAATGATATACAAAATCAAACCAGACCATCAGTGACAAGACTTCATATTTTTATTGCTGTACAGCTGAACAAACGGCCCCGTTTTTACAATTTCCACCAAAAATATTCACATTAACTACGACATTTGACCGTCAAAAAAACATTTTTTTTTCATAAATATCTACTCAAGCATGACGCGGACAAGACAAGTGAAGACTGCTTAGTCAACAGGGGGTGCCAAAAGTTGAAACAAACCAACCAACTTTTATTTTCCATAGATAACGTTGCAGAGGTTATGTTTTGCACCACGGCTGCACTGTAAATAATTGAAGTATTAAGCACATATAACATGCAATACTGTAGAAAACACAATGTTAAATTAAACTGTCAATGATCTGACTTTTTCTGACTCCAGCCGGCAAACTTCAGAACAGAAGTTTTATTGAAAAGAGTCCAGACAAAGGATTAGCCTTCAGGTTGATTGTTGCTAACCCTCTGTTTTACTAAGCCCATACCTTGGGCCATCACAAGATGGTAATGAGCGCTCCTAACTCAGAGCTGTTTGGTTTTGGGGGTCCAAAAAACCCTTTTTGAAAAACGCATCTGGCATGTTGATGTAAATCCAAAAGTCAAATTGTAGTTGTAACATTTTAGGCTGCGGCAATCTGTCATAAAGTAGTCAGAAACATAAGTGAGAATAGTAAAATAAGCCCGGTGCTTAAAATCATCATTCACAAAAAAACAGAAAAAACATGAGGTGGATGAATTTCCCTAGAAATGGTCATTTTTAATCAGGTAAGATATTCCTTTATCAGTCCCACAGAGGGGAAATTCTAAAACCGTTATCATCACTTTACCGTAAAAAAACAAACTTCCCAAGTTTAAAAGCTTCAATTTAAGCTCTGAATGACCTCTGGAACTCATCCTACCTATTAACATAGAAAACAGAATAAACTGAATTTTCAGTTCCCAGCATTTAAGCTTTTGACTTTAATTTAATACTCGGTTCATATTTATTCTGCTTGTACCAATATCTGTGATGAAAAGCCCGACAGGTGATGTTAGTAATACAAATGCTTCAAAACTAAACTTTTATTTATTACTCATCTTGTAAGAGCCAAAGTTGTGGAGTAACTAGAAACACTAGTGGAATAAAAAGGTAGCAAAAAAACCACCTGAGGGCTGGACCTGGCTCCTGGCCCGGCATTTACTGAGAGAGTAAAAGAAAGGGTTAGAAAGTGGTTATTGTTTATATAACTGAGGAACAACAAGAAAACTGAGAACTACTGCTGGGAGGAGAAAGAGAGAGAGTGGAAGAACACTAGAAACTGTTCTTATCTAGTCTTGAATTCTATATTTACCAACCTTTCTGGTTTGATTTTTGTTTGTTGTCTGTGTTTGTATTCATTTAAAAAAGCTAACCTGACCAACACCTGAGTAAAAACTGAGAAATTAAGCCAATTTGGTTATAATGGGACGTTTAGACGCACTGAGTCCCTTTTTAAAATAAAAAATTATGAAAGAGAAATAGAAAAAATGTGTCTGAAAGAAACAGAGTAGTTCTTGTGAACATGAATTGTTCTGAAAATTGTTTTCACTGATATTATTTAGGATGTTTTCAGCGAGTTAGGCGATTTTTGACAAACTTGGGAGAATAAAGCAGATCCCATTATTACAAATGTTTTCTGATCAATGTTTTTTTATGCCTGAGAATTTGTTTTCAGAAATTTCTTTTTCATTAAAAACTGAGCTGAAAGTGATCCAAACCCCAAATCCAATAAAGTTGGAACACTGTGTAAAATGTGAATGAAATGATTTCCTACATAAATTTAATTGAACACACTGCAAAGACAAGACATTAAATATTCAAACCAATGAACATTATTGTTTTTCCATAAATATTCACTCATTTTGAATTTAATGTCTGCAAAATGTTCCAAAAAAGTGAGGTCAAGGGAAACAAAAGATTGGAAAAATGCTCCAGTGGGTGGGTTCATTGGAAACAGGTGAGTGTAAAAGGAACAGCTTTGTGAGCAACTGCGTGAGCGAATAGTCCAACAGTTTAAGAACAATATTTCTCAATGGGATTTCATCGTCCACAGACCATCATATCATCCAGAGAATCCAGAAAAATCTCTACACCCATGTGGCAAGGCCCAGGAAACACTTAAAAAAACCACTGTCAGTTGACACAGTTTGTCTTTACATCGACAAGTGCAAGTTCAAATTCTGCCAGATATCAACGACACCCAGAAACACCGCCAGCATCTCTGGACCCGAGCTCATCTGAGATGGACTGAGGTCTGATGAGTCCACATTTCAAATACTTTTTAGTAAACATGGACGTGGTGTCCTCCGGGGTGAAGAGGAAAAGGACCACCCAGACTGTTTTAAACTCAAAGTTCAAAAGCCAGCATCTGTGATGATGATGATATGGGGGTGTGTTGGTGCCGTTGGCATGGGTAACTGTCACATCTGTGAAGCCTCCATTAAAGCTGAAAGTACAGGTTTTGGAGCAACATATGCTGCCATCCAAGCCATGTCTTTGTCGGGGACGTTCCTGTTTATTTTAGCGAGATGACGCCAAGACACATTCTGCTCATGTTACAACAGCAGGGCTTCAAAGTAAAAGAGTGAATATTTGCAAAAAAAACAACAAAGTTTATCTATTTGAGCATTATATATATTGTCTGTATAGTATATTCAGTTAAATATATGTGGAAAAGGATTTGCAAATCATTTTTATTCAAGTTTTATACAACCTCCTAGTCTCGTTGGAATTGAGGTTTATACATTTTCTCTGTGTTTTGCATCTCAAAAGCACATGTATACACTCACATTAGTATTCACTATTGCATAAGGACACACACTGTCTTTCAGTATAATCACACACACTCCCTCGGCAATAAAGCTAATGGGCGTCCTCAGTCTCCTCTACTAGCTTTCTGTCTTTTTGCTACCGAGGGACATGATTAGCACGCACATGCATTCATGCTCAAACGCACACACACAAATACACACAAGCTTGCTCTTTACCACAGGGTGCTCCTATCAGCAACAGTCTAAATGCCAAGTCACCTAGCTAACCATGCAGAACTAACACTCTGCACTGACGTACAGCCATCCAGGACAAAAGGGCATTTACAAATTATTTTTATCAGCAGCTCGTCGGATTAGACGTAGAGTGACACACACATAGAAAGACACGCAGGTTTTGGAAATGTGGCTCAGAGTTGAACAAAAGTCAAAGCATGAGAGATTAATACATCACAAATTCCTGCAGCAAGGCCAGAGCTTGTGTATGTGTGTGCATAAATGTGTGCGGTGTGATGATTTATTCAAGTCCTACAGGCGTCAGGCCAGAGAGGAGAGTGCCGCGCTGAGGTGAGGCCAGGCCCACCTGCCTAAGTGTGAGTGGGAAAGAGGACACAGGGCAGCAGCAGGGCGGTGTGCAGGATCAGTGTGAATCTGGGTGTGTCTGTCTGAGACTCAGACCACTTCATTTGTATGTTGGGTAAGCCGACTATAGTACTGTGATAGCAAGATAGCAAAAATGTATTTACTCATAAGATTTTTATTTAATAGACATGTCTGTGCACTGTTCTTACTTCTTTTCCAACCTCAATATTTTGGTTTTAAACATAATCTAACACATTTGTTGTTATGTGTTTGATGAATCAAGTGGAAGTTGAACAATACTACAAACAGCTTCAGTTTGAATCCATGGCTACCTGAAGCAATGTTACTTAAACTATCATAAGTACAAGTATTGGGGATTTTTCAAACTTTCTTTGCAAACCAAAACACATTTCTGTGCAGCAGTGTTGCAAGTAGGGCAAAATAGACTGAGGTGTGCAGTAATGTCACTGCTTAATTTACACCCCTGGTAAACTTTTTAATCATAAAGGTCACTTTTCTGCCCTCCTTTTTAACCCTTTTCTTTTGGATATTCATAAAAGCCCCCTAAAAGTCACCGCCAGTCCTTTCACATCATCATAGATGTAAACACATAGATGCCATTTCAGCCAAGATCAATTCGTCACTTTGGCGGCCATGAAGAGTCATGCCTCTGGATGAATTCAAGTCTAATACAGCAAGATGAATATCCATGAAAAACTTCAAGGAATTATTTCATCATGAATTTGGCAGATTAGATTATTATCCAAGACTTTTTACCATTAAAATCTATACTATTTGGATAATTAATACATTAAATTTGCAGGGTTTTTTTTAACAACAATGCTTTATCTTACATAGAGAATCACAAAAGATTCCTGCTTTGAATAAACTTGCACTACTTTAATTTCTTATCGCACATAAAATGGTTGCATGACCCTTTATTCCCTTTAAATCAACATGAACTTATGAGCCTGTAGAGTGTTGGATAAAAATAGAAAATCTAGGTGTAAAGAAGACACAACATGTTTGTCTGGCTCTAAATGTCCACAGGATGCACACAAAATAAAGGAGATTAATGAGAGTACCATCACTCATATTTTCCACCTATCACAGATTTGCACTGTGTTGACTTCTTTCTCGTGCCAGAAAACCCACCTAAAATCCAAAGTTTGGCTTTAAAACGAAGCACCAGAAATTAATGACCTGGGCCGAGATTCATAAATGAGGTTCTTTGTGATCAATTCCTGCAGACAAACACTGGTACGATGAAATCTTATCATAATGCTCATTTTTATAAATGAGGCCTGTGGCGCCGGGTGTGAGACTCCTTCCTAATGAGTCATAATGAGTGTCCTAATTTGTGGCGGCAGCGGTGAATCCAAATGTGAGGAATGCTACATATTTTCAGCCATTAAGCGGAGGCTTTTATCTAAAGCACCTTGCATAAATATTTTTAGCATGAGCGGAGCCAGCGGGAATTAAAAGGACCATTAAGGATGTGGGTCAGTATTTGTTTTTCAAGTAGAAGCGTTTGATCTAAGATAGGAGGGAGAATGAAACAGTCGTATTTAAGACCCTTTTTGTGGTCGCACATAAAAGATAAATGTTACTACTGAGCTTTCAGAGTTAGTTTTTATCTTCTCTGATCATTTTTAACTGTTTCTGAAGGAGTGGCCAAAATTAAGAGCTTTTAACTTCACTTTTATCAGAATGTTGATCTTACTATCAAATTAGCTTTGAAGTGAACAAATATGGTGGAAGATGGTTGGGAGATTTAACAATATCAAGCCTTCAGGTTCCAGATTGAAGCTAATCTCTGTGTATCGTTTTTTTTTTATTTTGATATTTAAAGCTATGTATTTGGGGGGATTGAACTTTTGCAACACAAAGAGGCAATCTAAATGAGGTCCCTTGGGTTTAACGAAAACTAGGATGCACATTTTTTTAATTTCATTCATCGTGATTGGAGCCAGAGGGAATCAGAAGGGACCATTAAAAGTGTTTGTATTTTATGTGAAATCTTTTTAATCTGAGACAAAAAAGGACCCTTTGATTGTGGTATATAAAGGACGCTCTTATCGTTATTATTAAGTGTTTTCTGCTTCTTCATCACTAATGATTCCTGCTTCTTTAAATCATGTAAAAAAGAATATATAGCAAAGGTCAAGAAGACTATTTTAGTAAGATCTGGGTGACAATGGGATATAAAAGAAAAGCAGCACATTCATGACTCGATAAGAAAAGACTTTCTTTTTCTTCTGTTGAATCAGTCCTTGGGTCCATTGAGTCTTTAAGCCAAAAACATACAATCAGAAAAAAAAAAACGACATCAGTGCTTTGTGTTCAAGCTTTTCACCCCCTCTGAAGGCTGTCTAGATCGAAAAAACTTTTGTGTCAGATTTTTTTGTCCAGTGCTGCAGACTGGTGAAAAACTAATAAAGCTTATGTTTAGTGAGCCTCAGGACCAACGCAAGACTAACTTATCATTAAACTATCCATTATTAGTCTTGATCCTGAATATACTGTACTTACTGTAATATAAATATAAGTCCTGTGTCCTGCTACATGTGCCAAAAACAGAGGTGTAAAAAAAAAAGAACCTCAATCATGATTAGGATTTTTTATTATCTGATGTAACATCCAAGTCAGCCGCTTTTGGAGCCAACTGTATATTGCGTATAGGCAGCAGGCCAAACCATTCTGAGGAGGCATGTGCTGTGAAAGACTGGTATGTGTGTGCATGAGCAAAAGAAAAGCACCATATTATAGGACTATGCTGACCAAGCATGGGTTGTTGCTATATCCCCTGAAAAAATCCCTGTGCACAGCAGAATCCATCAGGGACTTCATTTTTTTTTCTTCTTTTAACTGAAAAAGGCTCTTATGCACATGGCGTTTTGGTGTATCATCAGCAATTATCAAATTCTTAGGACGTACATCCAGGAACGGACAGGATCTGACGCTTGACAGTATGCCCAACTTTTACTGCACATTTTATAATCAGTCAGCATTGAAGGCATGGTTGACGATCTGAGAAGCAGGTGGAAAAAAATGAGCCGTTGTGGCAAATAGGATTCACCATGTCGGATTGCTAGTGACTAACGGCAGTAAACGCCAGTTCTGCTAGCTAGCACCATCTGCTGCTGCTTAGCTAGCTACCGTGTTGACATTGCAGAGACTAATAAGAGTTATTTATGTAACATGTGCCACGATAAAAGGCAAAAATTACCTGTTCAACAAAAACTCTGCTGTCTCGGTGTCTGTTCTCAGGCCCAAATCCTGGCAGTGCTTTCTCCACCGCTTGAAGGATGACCCGATGTTTATTTGAGTTAGATTCCTCGCTTGGTCACATTTCCTCTTTATCTCTGCCCTTTTTTCTGTTGGCAAAAGAAAGGGCAGAGAAAGATGTTTTATTTTTGTTTTGATTTTTGCGTCCTTCTTTATCACAGCTCATGTAGCTAAGCTGCTATGCTACTTTTAGCGGATCAGAGCTCCGAGCAGGGCCGAGAGAGTGGGAGGGGACGAGTCAGAACTACGAGAGAGGGGTGTGTCGAATACAGCGAGGTGATTGGATGGAGAGGCAGAGCAGGAGATTGACCAATAGGAGCCGTTCGGGACGGATGGCTCCCATTGGTGGATGTTTTTGCAGCCCTGCACCTACTAGGGTGAACAGATTTTTTCCATTCTTTTCTCTCCTCACTTTGTGAAGATCGCACTATAGGACCATGATCGCCATAGAAACAAGGTTCATAATAATTACCAATCTCTCCAATCGTCAACCATGCCTTTAACTGTTATCTGTCTTCAAAAGGATAACTCTGTATTCAGCACCCCTTCTATTATGTAGTGTGATTTGGGCTTCACATTATGAATATGCACGGACATGTTGGGACAAAAAACCTGGTCGTGGTATGAGTAGAAGAGCTCTTCTGTGTGTATGCATAATGCAAACACAGTCAGCTCGACTGTCTGTTTCTCACTGTTCTGATAGCCTCGACACACACATTAACACTCCTCTGCACACAGATACAGGACTAACAAATGTAGACAAATCCATACAAAATAAACATACTTTGCACGATCACGTTATTCCTCCGGCACACATGCTTGCAGCTGCACACACACCTATACACACACGCGCCCTTTGGACCCCGTGCCAGGTGCAGCTGTGCTTTCATGGAGGAACAGCAGGACCCGAGCCGGGCTATTTCAGGCTGAGGCGGCCAGATTGAATTAAAGCCGGATTAATCCCTGTAGAATTTGTGTCGTTCTTCCAAGCAACACTAAATCCAAATCAAATTATACAGCCTGCCTCCCTCTGCCACTACCACCACCACCACCACCACCATCCATCCACAGCACTGTAGCAGTCAGCCTCAAGTGTGCGAATATCAGTCTCTTCCTCTCCTCTGTTTTTGTGCCTCATTCTGGACCACATGATCTATGTGTCCTCTACCCTGCCCTCAACCAACCTTCTACTCCTCTCCAGCTGTGACTGACGGCTGGAGAGTTAATTGATAGCGACAGCCCCTAAATCCAGAAGAGAAATTGTTAAATAAAAGCAGACTTTGGGATGTCATTGAGTTCAGTCAACTTAGTTTTTTTGCCTGGTGAAGTCTTAACACAGGGGCAAAACATACTACTCAGAAAGACAGAGATGCACATAAGAGATACTGAACTAAAGGGCTGTACATAACCAAATACAGATACTGGCATAAATATCAAATAATTACATTTTGAAAGCTTCCTGAAAATACTGACTAAATTTAAAGTAATTAAAGATTCAGGTATCTCAAGTTTCTGGCGGTAAGAGGTTGTACACTTATACAGAAATACAGAACTCTGAGATGCACACAACCAGAAGTGTAGTTAAGAGAACACTAGAGCAACACTTCTAGTTAGAACTTCTCAGACTTCTTCAGCACTCAAGAAGTATACCTTTCCACTAAGGAGAGACGTCTTTAAGGCCCGTGACACAGAAATTTCTATCTATCGAGTGTTGGTTCACTTTTTGGGGATCATTTCATGTTTTCTTTTTAAAAAAAAAATCCATGGTAGCACAGTTTTTTTAAACAAACATAAAAGCCAAGTCAAAATTTTTGTCACAAACACTGCTCATACACAGGACATACGTTTGGGTGACCATATTCTGAATCCCCAAAAAGAGGACGCTGCTACGCTGGGCAGACTTGTGTTTTTTTTGTGGGTCAGGTCGAGTGTTTTTTATGCACTTCTAACTCAGTTAAACACATACTCTGAATTCCCAAAGACAGTGCATGTATGCGTTGTGTCAGTGGCTTTGCAACGACGTTAGCGGAAGGGCAGAGCTGCAGAGAGCACTGATGCTCTGCACTGTTTTATAATGGATGCATACACGTTTCGGACATTTGAAGGATTTTATAAACTCCCCCCGGACAGCCCCCCAAAAGAAGACATGTCTGGGTAAAAGAGGACTTATGGTCACTCTAACATACATACAGACGTTTCTGCCTACTTTCCTACTGTTCATCATGTTCTTTTCTCTGTCTCTGTTCCCGTTCATGTAGACTGGCACTCGCGAGACCGTTTCTCAAGGCACCTGGAAGAAAGGAATTGTTCAGGGAATCATGAAGATAAAATGTAAATGATGTTTACGGAACCATTTAGAACCAGTTCTCGATTCCAATTCCTATATCAGTGTGTACGAGATAGGCATAGTTCCTCACACGGGGCACCGAAATCAACACGAAACCAAAAGTTCCTCACAACAACTGTAAGAATGTGCTCAAACCTTAAAACTGCATAATTCTAGTGTCGGATTACTGTGAATTTTAGAAAAACAAAATATTTGACTGTGGATTGAAATGGCTAATTTGATTTGAATACATTCTGCGTGTAGGCCGATAAGAATCTGTTGCCATGGAAGTGTTATCAACTGTTCGCTAGACAGATACACTGAAGTCAGGGTTATTTTTTTTTTTCTTGCTTCAAATTAGCAGCAAATATTGAAGGAAAATACAGACATGGTAGACAAACAAGAAAAAGAGAAAGACATATAGAGATCAGTGAGGGATTGGGTCACTGGGTCCTCCTCGAGTCATGATAGAGTTTGCTCTTAAGTCATAGTAACCCAATGCAACGCTGTAATCTGGAAAATGTTAATCTGCAATCCCCTGAACCACTTTGCAAATCTCCTGATGAGAATTCAAGGAGCACGTTTCATCTCCACAACAAAGAGCTTTGTGGTTTCTCCATGTTCAATTTGAAGGATAAAGGGATTGTAATGTGTGAGCAGAGTATCATGCGATGTGTGTGTTGCGGCTTAGATGATATGTGAGTTTCCTCTCTCCTCTCTGCGTTTGATGGACGTTCAGGGGCTGTTGCAGGAAGAGAGAGAGGGGCTGCGTGAGGAAGACGCAACAGAGGCAGAGGGAACAGCAGCAGCCGGTGGCGTGAGGCTAAGAGACGAGTTCATTTCCTGGCAGGGCTGACATGTTTAACCAACAGGGGAAATCTTTTACTATTCCTTCCACCCCCACGCTCAAAAAACATGCGAACACTTACATGAAAAAAGTAATTTTCTCTCTCACACACAATTTCACACATTGATGAGCAAAACCAGTTAGGCAAAGCACCAGTTTAGACTTACACGGCACACATGCAAACAGAACGACTATAAGTATTACTATAAGTTTTATCAAATCAAGAAGGTAATGTTGCGTACAAAAACCCCAGGATGGTTTTGAGTATTCTCAAAATGACATAAACAAATCCTCCATCTTGGCTCGAAGAATTGGCCCAATATTTTTGTTGAAGTGTCACTCTTGAATCCCACTAATAAAGAGCTTTCAGGCAGAAACGCCAACAGATGGAAACCACATGTGCGTGGCGTGTCACAAATCTTTCCAAGAACTCTGCAGAGTCTCCAAATCAGTTGGTTTATCTTTGTTTCGTGTGGATGTAAAGGAATATGTAATAAGATGATGCTTTCACATGTTGTTTGTACAAAGTTACAGGTGCGGCAAAGGTAACTTTCTGCACTCAAAGAGTTAAAATCACCAGCAAACAGACGAATAATGCAATCTAAAAAAGCAATGCAGTGATCAAACAATTCATACACCATCCAGCCCTCCTCTCAGGGTGCATTTGAACCTCAGGCAGGGTCTTGTTTGTTGCCCCGGGCTTTACATGACTATTGTGCCAAACAAAGAGTTAGATGGTACACTGGCTCAGCGGTTGAGACACACGCACAGAAACCCAGCTGCTGGTTTCTCTCACTGGAGTCTGCGTGTTCTGTTGGTGTAGGTTTGCTGTGGTTTTCCTTTAGGCCTCGTGTTCCTCAACATTTTGAATATACAGAAAAAAATCAGGGAAAAGCTTTCTATTACTGTATCATGATAAGACAAATGGGTTTTAAGCTGATTTGTATGGAATAAAGCGTTCATGTTTATCCTATCTAATATAACCGTTTAATAAACACACCAAGCTTCGAAATGTGGAGGTTGAAAAGAAAGACATGGCAGCGAGAGATAGTGATATTTCATTTCTGGCACACGAGTCTCTCTCTGTGGTTACACAATCTTCATTTTTTATTTCCCGGTGTGGGAGGTAACTGCAGGAGGTGGTACAACCTCAAGGCAATTACTTTTGTGGAAGGAGAGAAAATAAGAAATACATGCGGTGATAAAGAATTACTGTAAGTCACGACTGAAGTGGAAGTCTCTGATAACCTCTCCCTTTATGAAAATGATCCCTTTTCTTGGCCAAAGTTGAGTAAAAGGTGTAAGAAACAAGAGATTAACAGAAACTCAAAGCTTGTGGCTCAAAAAGCTTAAGAGGCTGGAAAAAGGGGTGGAAAAGATCAAGACAAAAGTCCACTAAACAAGATGAGAATGAGAGAGAAGAGGCAAAAAGAAGGAAAACGCAAACATCTCCCTTCATTTCTGGCGGTGAGTTGATTTTATTCAACATTTATCAAAGTCATCCACACGATGAATATAGAATAAACCACCACTTACAGTCATTGAGACAGAGGAGCTGTAGAATAGGTTTTATGATTATAGTTATCCAATTCACTTTAAAGGACAATTTCAGCTGTAAAACCCCAGAAAAAGTCACATCAATAACAGTGAGAATTATTTTTATAGCATCTTTTAAGCAGTGATTTTTATGTGATTTACTATAAAATTAAACTAGGAGACAAAACAATGTAGTAAGCAGCAAAATACAGAGAGTAAGAAGCAGGAGGGCAGGGGCGTGTCCAGGTGGGTGATACAAGGTGGCACGAGCCCTGAAATTATGTATGGCTGTTTGCTAAAATCAAGTACCAATAGACTGATAGTACTTTTAACCCTTTTCTTTCAGAGAAGCAAGTGTCAAAAATTTATTCATTAGCAACGTTTCAGGTTCAAAAGTACTTCAAATTGTAAAACAAGTGACAGCATTTCTTAAATTTCAGATGAGGAAGTGAGCTGTTTGGCAAGGGGATATTTTGTGAATCAGATTTTGAGTAAATTTTTAACTATTTGATTGAATGACATGCCCTGGTAGAGTGTTACATGTAACCATGACGACTGCAATTTTTAATGTGTGTTTTCACCATAGAGAGTGTTAAATGTGCCTTGAGTAGCATGCCTGGTGTAAAGCTGCGTTCAAGCTACCGAGGAAGTCAGATGTCTGAGCTGAAAATGACATCACACGCAAGTTCCCAGCGTTTCAGTTACCGAGTTAGAAAAAAGCGAAATCGGAGGCCTGAAACAAGATGGCTACATCTACAAAAGTTATTTTAGTGCTTGCGTCTTTTTTTCCCCCGGAAAGTCGCAAAATCGCTTCGCACTTGTGTACAGTCAGGCGCGTCAAAATTTGCCAATTAAAATTTCGTAATTTTGCATCATATATTCGTGTGTGTAAGGACCTTTAATGCTTAAATGAGATCCTTTGGTATTTAGTTATTCAAATTAATTAATCAAAATTAATCGATAAAGCAGTAAATCCAGCTTTTATTTTGAACTGTTGTGCATCTATTTAACTAGTTCTGTAAGGGCAACGAAGTGAGCAGGATGCTGCTTTATTCTGTACAGTTTTTAACTTCTTTACAGGAACGTGGCAACGTAATGAAGTTAGAAAATATAGAGCATACACTGAAAGGTAAAAGACAGTGAAAGAGTTGGGGAAATTACTGATGATAGAAAGGGTATGAGCTTGGCCACCCCCGCTGAAAAAGTCAGGATACGCCCCTGCAAAGAGATCGAGAAGAGATCTGAAAAAAGGGGGAAAGCTGGAACCTCAAATTTTTAATATTTTTTACTTTGTGAATGCCACACCGCTGATATGACAATTGAAGAAAATTAATAAAACCACAAACAAGTTGATTTCTTTATTGAGAAGGTTATGTTATTTAATTTAGCAGGTACTTATAATCATTGCAAGCAAACAGGCTTTTAAGTCAAAAGGAAAACAAGCGCGCCTTCATGTAGTGTCTAATCCAGAAAACTCTCGCTGAGATCTCTGTGAGTCTTTTATTCTAACCATGTCAGCTATTATAGTAAAATACAGAAGGTAGGAGGGAAAAGCAAAGGTTGTAACGTCAGGAAAAACCCGAACGAGAGGGGAAGAGTGTGTAATCCATGTGGCTACTTTATAATTAGCTGACAAAGCTGACAAGTACCCCAGCAAGTGACTGAAGCATTAGATTAAACAACGCTCTGAATTTAACAGCCACGACCGCACGCTCCAGTGCCCGGGGAGTGCAATCACAAAACCTCAAACACACACTCACAGATATACACTCGTACTTGTGTCAAACAAGAATGTAGGCTCGCACACACACCCACCCTAACCTAGCTGAAACAGCGTAACACCACCACTGGCTCTTGACAACAGTCTAATTGGTAATTATTCACATGCCCCCCTCCTGGGAACCAGCAGTCCTAATGAAACCACTTCAGTGTCTGGGGTTGCAGACAGCTCCTTAGCACACACACACACACAAAAAGAGGCACAAGAACAAACATACACACAGCAAAAACTGAGGGTGCGTTAAAAAAGAAAGGACCCGGGGTCAAGAGGGGAGTTAGAGGGTTAAGGACTGATAGAAATCAGACCACAAGTAAAGGCTAATTAAGTTGACCTTTAGTGCTGACATTGACCTTAATCACAAAGGGTGTATCATTGGGACATTGTGGGTGACTAATACAAGGATTCATGCGTGGACTCAGTCCAAATGATGCTGTAATTACATGTTTTGTGCCTCGCAGTAATTCGGCGTTCTTCATGTTTTTCTCTGCGATACGGCTGTTCCTCATTTTAATCAGGGCTAACTTTTCTTCATGATAAAGCGAGTGCAGAGAGAAACCTTAAAGGGATATTCCGGGGTAAAATTAAGTTATGGTCAAACACAATAACACTAAGTTAGACACCCAGTCGAGAGATGAATGTTGCCGACTGTTTGCTTCTCTAGTTATACCAACTTTAGTAACGACCACATGATAGCAAGACAGCTACAGCTACGTGTTCAACCAAAACACCACTCTATAGCCACAAATAATGCTCAGAACAGCACCTAACTTCATCAACAGTACATATAGGGTTCCAGCCATAGCACTAGCCACCAAACATCTTTTTAACTTAACTAAACACAACTCACCAACTCTCTTCCAGCAGCCGCATGTTTGAAGCGAGACCTCAGACTAGTCCATCATTGACTGCAGTGGGGTGTGAGGCTCAAGGAAGAACATTTATGATCATTTCTTCATGGAAATGCAATCAGACCGAGACACTAAGGCAGAAGAACTACAGCGTCTGCAGTGCAAAATGATTAATATGGTGATTATTACTTCAAGGAAATGATAAAGAAATGGTCATAAATGTTCTTCCTTGAGCTGCGCCTCCCCGCTGTGTTTGACCCTAACTTAATTTTATGCCGTAATATCCCTTTAAAGAGAACCAGACTCCTAGGCAGAAAGCCATCTGGACCTAGACTTTGTTGAATGTAACAAATAAGAGGCTATCGAAGGTACTACCTCCCAGACTAGACAAGAAGTAGGCTGGTATTCTGTGAGAGCGATGTCCCAGGAGGAGGACAGAACTCTGTAAGCTCTTTCAAAAACGAATGTACATGACGAGTAAGAGCGTCGAAAGAGAGAAAAAGGATCTTATATTCTGTTCGACATTGAAAGCAGTGCAGAGGAGATAATATGGGAGCAATAGGATCGTCTTTTTCCTAATTCTTGTCAGTACATGTGCAGCAGCGTTCTGGGCTGTCTCTTATGTAAATTTCATTCAGCAGCTTCTAAGGCAGCCATCTAGAAAACTGTGGATTTTTCATGGCATAAATGATATGGATTATAAACATTTTACAACTGAATGTGTGACTGTTGAGTCATAATCATACTTGATGCATAATGACTCCCCCCATTTCACTAATGCCCAGCTTTAGTGTCATCTCTGCGGCATGCAGAATGGTTGGCAACCGTTTTCAGACCCAATATGATGGCTAAAAAGGGCCCGCTGATTGCTGTCATGTTATAATCAAGCCATTTGCATATCATCTCATTTGATGAGGTAGATTACTTGGCTGGGAATTCTGTGACTTATAATATCAGGGTGGAGGATGGCAAGAGGCAGAGAGAGGCGGGGGGGTGAGACTGCCAGAAAGACAGCTGCGAGGAAATGGCTGAGGGAAATCGCAGAAAGACTAACTTCTCAAAGACAAGGAGACATTCAGTCCAGGTCACTTAGATGAAAACTTCAAGGTCAATCTGGGGTAAGAGGAGATCAGTTTGGTCCCTCACAACAGATTAGATAATTCTAAAAATGGGTGAATAGTGGATGAAGGTGTACATGATGCCCCAAAGTGAAACAGCATCTCACAACTGAGCTGTTCCTCTACAAGTGTTTGTTTTGACAGTAAGTCCTACACAAAAATGTGTTCTTGTTAGCCTGTCAAGTGACAACATCTTCACTGTATCTGGTATAAGAGATCATACACTGAAACAAATACAGAACTCTGAGATGCATGTGGACAGAAGTGAAGTTTGGAGGATACTAGTGCAGCACTTCCAGGTGAGAACTATCCAAACTTCCTCAGCACTCATGGTGCTCAGGCATGTCTTGAATTTGCTGCCTTTGTGTAGCTCGATGACCTGTGTGTAGAGCTGTTGCAAAGGGTTACGAGCAAAGAACAGGAAATTGATATTTATATGTATCAGGGTAGCATTGTGTACGATAATTATTGTATTTGTACGATTATTTTGCCTTCTGTAAGATGTACGATCAATAACCAAGAAAAAAGGCAAAATGTACGACAATTTGACAGTTTTGTGAACAATGGGACTGTCTCAGTCTGCCAGACACTTTATTATCCCTGTTTTTTGCGAACCCCAAAGGCATCTTTTACCACGTGATGTCTCCATCCGTCGTAGTTTGAGTGACATTTGTCTCCGAGAATGATTGGCTGGGAAGTCGGTTGAGAAAAATTAGCACCACTAAAGAGAATGGTGATGAACAGGAGGCGGAGAGATGTGGGACGGGACAATGAATGACCACAAAATCGTGAGTGCCTACAGGACGCTAAACAGAGAGACTGTATGTGACGATCATGCAACATTGAGGTTGTTATTTTGATTATGATGTGTGTACAAATTTGAGAAAAAATGCTCCTGAGTGTTACGTTCAATGTGTCCTCCTGTAAAATAAGAGGCTATTGTAATTCAAACACAAGGAGTCAAATCAGGTCCAAACCCAATATATCATGCCAATATATATCACAGCTCCACCTACTGGCAAGATAAAGTTTGCTTTTTTGCATGATAAGCTTTTGTTGGTCAACGAAGAATTGACTTCCTTTGCTCTGACTGTATTTAATGCTAAAGACGTGCATATTAAGAGATATTTTGACTGTTCTGCATGTGAAAAAAATACAGCAAATCAAACACACTCTCTGACTGTGCAGGCAACGCACTCAAATACGCACAAAGGTGCGAGGTTCAGTGCTGCTTACAGCCCTAGTTTTGTATTGGACCTGTAACCGAATCAGTTTGGAGGATTTAACTTTGATTTTTTATCCAACTATTCAAAACTCTGACAGGAACCATTCATTACAAAGACAGGAAAGAAGATTTCATTTTACAATTGTTAACTTTTGTTTTTTAAAAAAGAAACTGAATTTCAATTCTAGGTTTCCAGAAGCATGGGGAGAGTGGAATACGTTTTATTAGCCAGCAGCGTTTTGGCTTTTTAGATTACAGGTCAATACCTCCTAAATGAAAGCAGCATTAAATAAAAGCTTTAACACGCCATCCCCCTTTCTGATGACATTAAAGTATAATCAAAATAAATTATGAATGCAGTATCCTACAGATATCCCCAAGTTTAACCCTACTAAATTGTAGATGAGGCTTTTGAGGGAAGATTGCATGCAGGTTATAGGTAATGCTATAGGAGAGAAAACACGTATTCTGCATCAGCCAAAAAACAATATGGAGTTCATGAATAATATACAAGCCTATTGGCAGGCTGTGAAAGAAAAAAAGGAAACCTGTGTGAAACGGGGGAGGGGGAAAAAACTGGAAATATAATGGAGAGATTAAAGCGAAGGGATGATTCTCTGTTGACAAGAAATGAAGCATTTGACTTTGACTTTGTTGATGAAAATGGGTTTTAATTAAGCAGGGAATCTGGGTGTACGACATGAAAACCAGGATACAGATAGAGGAAAACTGTGATTTATGTTTTTGTGCGACATATGTAAAAAATGACGACAAGAAAGAGAAATACCGCAACGATCAAACGGATGGCATGAATATGGCGAAGCATCTGGCGCTCTTCCGACCGACACAAACTCTGTGACGGCTCGCAGATGTACATGTCTTAAGGACACACGGGCGCACATGCAAACACACAAGTAAAACAGATGAATCACTGTGGCATTCATTACCCCTCAGGGTGCCATCCTCCGTGCGGAAATGTGGTGGATTCCCTCTTTAATAAATGTGCAGGCTGCTTCCATTCATATATTTATATCTGCTTATACACCTTGTTGAAAGCACATCCAGGGAGATTTCAAGCTATATGAGCTTTTTTCTTATCTTCTAAGACAACTGAGCATGCCAGCCTTCCCCTCCCTCGGCTTCCACCCCCACCATCTTTTCTTCTCCCATGCTCATCCCCCTTCCCTCCATTTTTTTTTCTCCCCCCTTTTTCTCCACACTGCAGAAATGGGATTTGAGAATTTTGGGTTCACATGGCGGGCAACCAGTCTCGAGGACTAAAAGTTTCTGTTCCGTTTCAATCATCTAGTTGGGGGAAAGTTTCAGCGAACCCACTCACAGCCTGGAGACACAATATGATAAGAAGGCTGGCTCATATCTGATAACTAGCTGCATAAACAGAGCGAGAGGAGAGGACAGCCTACACAGACTGATGCCACAGAAATGAGGCCGATGTATACCCTAGCTTATATTATAGCCTTATGCTCATATATAATAACCCTTCATTTTCCTATACTGCCCAGGCTGAGGAGACATCCACCAACACGCCCACGCTCCGACTTCCTCCTCCCTGCACACTGAACAGCGCCAGAAGTTTCATAAGGCGACCGAGGAGTTGGCATGGTCAAGAAGCCAAAACTACGATGGTTTTGTGTTTTACCTCCAAGGAAGAATCGGCTTGGACAAACTGGTTTACAGGTCTGTGAATCTTATTTAGAGTCGACCCTTTCTGGAGTCTTTACTCTCAAAGCACCTGATGATTGTTGGAGTTTTAACTTTAAGTTTTAGAGAATCATGAAGCAGAGGAGAGTCTGAGAAGTTTTGTGGTTTTAGATGCCTTGGTCCTGCTTAAATTTGATTAAGATGATTAAAATGATGAGAATAGATGTTCATTAACAACTTTGTTTTTTTATTTGATTTATTAGATATTAAGAAGCTAAAAACACAATTAATAATAAAACTTTTCGTTCTTGTTGATGTGAAAAGATTAAAACAGTCGTAAGAGACCATGATGTTTCCCCCTGCTGTGCACCCAGTGTTCATTTTGTGATTTATCTACAACAAATGCTCTGTGGGCTCACACAGTCTGGAGTGTGCCTTCAGGCTTTCATTAAAAACCCCGCCTTGCTGTTGACCACGTTGGCTGTGGCGTTTCAGAAATATCCCAATCTGGAGAGCGTTTTTTAAAAGTTACAGTTGAGGTCGGCTTAAAACGCCATTTCCATTATCATGAGGAAACAAACTTTGTTATACCGAGATAATGAAAAAAATAAGTCTAAAAAAATAATCGTTATATTGAGATAATAAGTCGTTATCATGAGATAACAGTGCATAAAAAAAAAAAAAGAAAAGAAAAATCCATGTCCGTTCTGGGCTTCCTTACTTTTTGATATTGACCTTGACAATAACTAATGTTTTAATGTTATGACTATATTAAACTAGTTTCTACTGAACTTTGTGTTAAAACAAGATATAATGGAGTTACAAAGTGTTTATCTAAATGTAAATTTGGCTCCAGTAAGACTCTTGACTTGGTTGGTTTTTCTTTGGTTATGCTCTCTGAAGGCGAGTATTTTTATCTGCTGAACTCCTCTGTTTTTATTCTGAGTCATTAAATTCTTCCTTTAAGATGAAGTACCCACAGCTCCCTGTTAGATTCTTCAGCTGGCTGCCAGTGTTGGTATCGCAGCGCTG